GCTTCTGTGTGCTTTGCTTCTGACAGTTCACACCTGTGACTTTCTTCTGAGGCCTGCCCTTGGGCTACTGAAGCTGATTGCCCACAAGCACAGAGAGAAAAGTGCCTGGAAATTTCCATCCCCTGGGGCAGCCCCAGGCCAATGTCTGGCTGCTGTGCATAGATGGAAGCCACTTCCCTGTTGTGCCGGGGTCCGAAGAGAGCAGTTCCCAAGCTCTCAGCCCCACATGCAAGGTCACTAGGAGAGCAGTTCCCAAGCCCTCACCTCACAGGTGTTGGGAATGGGTCCAAGAGAGCAGTTCCCAGGCTCTCGGCCCTGTTTACAAGGTCACGGGTGCCCATGCATGGGCAGGACGCATCCCTGGGCAAGCACTTCTGTAACTAGTTGGCACATAGCCACTGTTGTTCCACATGCTATATAACTCCCGTGGCTGCTTCTGCAGGTGCAGATAATGGCGGATACATAGATGTTGCCTCCAGTGCCCCGACCAGCCGTCATCGGGGCTGTGATGTGGGAAGACCTCTTGTTGGGGTATTGGCGGATGTTTGCTTCTTGTATCTTGGTCTGCTGCCATTGAGAATAGAGTAATATGAAGCCCCTGTCTGTGGCTCCATTGTCTTTTTCCCATCGCACCTTATCCAGTGTTCACCTGCTAGGGAGGGAGCTGAGCTCCCGTGTGACCCATGGCATTACACCTGCCTAAACGGGACTAACTCCGAGGTGTGATTTCTCCCCAGAGCTCCCTGGAGCAGGCCCTTGATCTTGTCCCCTGCCTTGGGTGAGTCTCAGAGTATGTGTTTTTTGTGGCCTTTCTCCATGTCTGATGGCACCAGGCAACGGAGAACTAAGGGCCGTAGAGCTGAGAGCAGTGGCCAGAACTGCAGAGTCATGTCTCCCTTCCGCGTGCCCCTGCCAGCCCGGGTGCTCCTGGCAGGCTTGCTCTTGGGCCTACACACCATTAAGTGATCATATTCCACCTCTAAAGACGTCACCCCTCCAATTCCTCAACCCTGCTGGGTGAAGGGCCTTCAGGAAGTGTTTTGTAGCAGGACACTCCCTGCCCACAGAGCAATGAGCAGCGGTTTTAGGCGGAGGGTTAGCTCCTGGGCTTAGGTATGCTGACAAGGAGAAATGAAGCAGATGCAGTGTGATGGGAAGAAAAACAAACTGCCCAGGGGCTCTAAGGAAACAGCAACGCCAGTGAGGTTCACAGCACATCCAGCCCATTCCCCTTCCTTGGAAAGAGTAGAGACTTAGAAGGAGAGAGGGTGAGGAGTTGCTTAAGGTCACACAGTGAGTCTCTGAGGCTGGCAGCTTTGTGCTGCCTACGCACTCTTCATAAGACCAGGGTAGCATTCTTCCTCCTGTTTTCCATCTCCACAGTGAAGCGCCTCTTTTCTCTGCCATGGGGCCAGGCAACATGCTCAGGATGTGCAGTCATGCAGGAACATCTTTGAGTTCCTAAACATCCCTGTTCACAAACACCCAACTGAAGACTGAAGCACCGCTGGTCCCAAAAAAGCTCTGGGTCGGCCGGCCGAGTGGCGC